TTGGTTTGGAGGGTGCAAGGGAGGGGCCGTTGCATTCGCCCAAGGGTGGGCAGGCTGGTCTATGGCCGGCATTTGGGTCCGGGGTCCCGGTTGTGGCCGGTTTTGAGGTATCGGGTTCGAGGCCGTCGGTGGGGTATAAGCCGCTGGATTGTGGTTGTTGTAGCCTGGAGTTACGCTGGCTTGCGGGGAGAAAGGGGAGTGGGTAGTCCGAACAGGGAAAGGCTTAGGCTCCTGTCCTCCGTAGGATGCCGCATTTAGGTAGGGGCAGAATCTTTTTATGTGTCCCTCTTCTTGGCAGTAGTAGCATCCTCCCGTCCCCGGTCCCCATTGCCTATAGGGATTGGGGGGTCCTCCTCCACGGATTCCTTTTCCTCGAGGGAGTCCCCTGCCTCGATTAGGACCATAGGCAGTTTCCATGCTTAATGCTAATATTTGTTCAACCTCGGGTTTTGTTTCCTTCTTCTTTCTTTCATCCCGAGAGTTGTAAACAGATTTAGCGATGGACAAGATTTCACTTACGCTCTTTCCATCATATCCAATTTGGAGATTCAGGGCTTTTCTGATATCTGGGCAAGCCTGATCCTTGAAGAACCCTTTTACGATTACTTCATGCTGTGGGTTTTCAGGGTCTATTCCTCCCCATGTTTTAATGGCAGAGACCAATCTAGTGTAATAATCGGACGGGTGTTCGTTTGGTCCCTGCATGACCGACTGGACTTTGGTCCAATTAACGGTGCGTTGTCCGGCAGCCTTCACGCCGTCCAAAATTGCCTTTTTAAATAGGTTTAAGCACCAGATCCCGTTGGTGGTGTTATAGTCCCATGCTGGTTCTACTCTGAGACATTGTGCCGTTAGCGCCTGCAATCCCTGAGGCCGTCCCCTTTGGTAGTCGGGTAGTTCTATAGCTTCCCCGGCTTTAGCTAGAATGTCCGCTTTCTCCGCCTCGTTGAAGAGAGCATTCAGAAGAACGTGGACATCTGGCCAGGTGGGATTGTGTGTGGAGAAGATAGCGCTGACCTGGCGGTGGCATTTGTCCGGGTCGTCTCTCAGTGAGGGCATCTGATTCGACCAAGTTACCAGGTCTGAGGTATAGAAGGGATGATGCGTGTAAACCATCCGCGGGGGCCCATCAGGTGCGAGAGGGGGAATGGGCAGGGCCCTTAAGGGCATCTGGACCGCAGTAGAACTCACGGTGGAGCTTACTTGGTCCGAAGTCCCTGGAGCCACTTTGTCGCAGCCCAGGGTCCTCGTTGCGGAGCCATCAGGTTCCGTGGGGGCGGTTTTATTCCCGATTTGGGTAGAGTCCTCAATGGTGTTATGGAGAGTAGAGGAGGGGAGTTTAGTCTTAGCTTGCCCGGTGTGTTTAACTTGTTTGGCGTCCCCCTTGTCCTTTTTTGCTTGTAGTCGTGTGACCCTTCTATTTTCAGTGTCTTGTGCCTCATCCTCCCCCGTTTCCTCCCCACTACTAGAGTTGCTGTCGCTGGGTGTCGGGGCTCGCGGCGGTGGTCCTTGATAGTAAAAGGGGACCAGGGTCTGTCGTACATCGTCATCTTCATAAGGGGGGGCATTGGCTGTCGGCCGGGATTTAATATAGGCAGTTGGTAAGAAGTTGTTCCCTTTGGGGCTTGGAGCATTCTCCTTACTGCCTCAAAGGTGGCCAGGTATTCCAACTGGCGGGGTTTTTCTTCTATCAGGGCTTTCTTTAAGTGGTTCAAGCGTTCTTCATTAAACGAACCCCCCGGTGGCCACCGCAGTTCGGGTTTGGCGGAGGCAGTACTGGCGGGCCAGGTTTCGGAGCAGAGGTCCTCTAATTTCTCCTTAGATAACAATTTGTGGCCAGGAATCGACTTCCAATACGTGATGACGAATTGGAGAGGAGAGTCGGGATCCTTCTGGGAACGGGATGGCTTCCTAGAAGCCTTCCTCCCAGAGTGAGTCCGCTCGTGTTTGGAAGCCTGGGTACCCATAGTATATTTCACGCGTGTCTAGATAGAAAGAGGAGAGAGGAGGGGTCGATGAGGATTTGTGGGTCTAGGCTGTCCGACAAAGGACTTGTAAAAAGGAAAGGTCTTTAGTCGCTTGGCAACTTCCTAGGGAGGTTTTAAAGAGCTCTAGCTATCCGGTATTCCTTCCTTCCTTTTCCTTAACCATTTACCTGGGGTCCCTTTTCCACTCTGCCGGTCCCGCCCAATTCCTCATGGGCTATTCCCTCCTGGCAACCTCCTACCTATCGTCAAACTTCTCAGGAAAAAGGGGCCCTACTGAATGCCCGCGCCGTGCGGTGCCAGATCGGGTGATCCCTGGACAGAATTGTGGGTCGAAAATCCCCCTTGCTTTCGGAAGCGGGCTTACGATACGCGTGGTACGTAGCCCGACCGGTGCGGCTGGGATTGGGATAGAAAGCAAGACCACTTCCTGCCCCCTAGAAAGGACGCTCGGGAAGATCGGAAAGAGAGCTCCAACCCCTTGCTTTCAACTGGGATGCCCGTTTGCGGAGAGTCGGCTATCTTTCAAGTCGGGTCTCTCCGTCTTACCCTTCGGGCTCCCAATTGGTGTGGCTGGCTGGAGAGTTTAGATAAAGAGATAGAGCTCAGAACCCCCCTTTCGGGTCGAGCAGTGGTCCACGGTCTCTCTCACTGACTGGACCAAGAGAAAGGCAAGAAGGTACGATAGAGAGGAGGGCAGAGAATTCAGTTGCCAGGAGACTTCCACCCCTTCCCACCAGTGCACTGGATTTCCTATACTCACGCGTCTTCTACGTCGATCCGATCCCGGGACCGATGAATAAGCCGGCTGGATCCCTTTTGCTCCCCGGCTGAACTCCTGGGGCTCCTGATTACCGCCCGGGAGATGGCCGGAGGTCCAAAAGGGTCTTCTCGGGCAAAGTGGCCCGCAGCCGGCTGAAGAATTCGGGGCCCCCGGTCAGCAACCCGGGAGAACCGCTGAAGCCCCACGTTGGGCGCCAAGCTGTTACGGAAAACCTGGGTGCGTATTTACCCTGCCACCCAGCCGATCGGACCAAGTCCGCGGATTCTAGCGGGAGAAAAGGAAGCTCAGCCGGACGCAGGAGCAAAATGCGAAGATCCAAGTTTATTGCGCAACAGGTTCAAAGTGGAATTGAACCCCGAGAATGGGGCGACATAAACTTTTAAAAGTTCCCTCCAAGTCCCAGAATACAGTGCAAGAAACGTCATGAATATATTATGGGAAGGTTGGGTTTCATGGATTGCATCATGAATATATTACACACGTCATGAATATCTCAAGGAAAGGTGGGGTTACACTAATTAACATTTGGATAAGGGAGGGGGAAATATGCAGAGCGAGTGATATACATAGATAAACATTTATGAAGTACCGGTGGTGGCAAGACAAAGGGCCAGAGATATGCATCGTCTGCCACCTAATATTGCCCGGAGGAAGGGTCAGGCGAAACGATCTGACAGGATTAGAAAGTTCCTGTGTACGTGACCCGCCGTTTCGGGGATTATGGAGGTAGGGGTCACATCATGGAGTCGAAAGGGAACTGAGTAGAATGACACCAGAAGCAAAGAAATGGGAGTTACGGTTGATTTTATATCAATTTCCAAAGATTTCTATGCTTTCCGACCCATTCAGTATCGTTGGCCACGATCGGAAACAGAACGGAAATATTGTAGCAAGAATGGATACATTGTAACAGGATTTTGACAGTTTTACGAGGTCTCTGGTTTCGGATCCATTGTTCTCACAGTGGGGGGCCGTCAGCAGCTTGTCAGGAGTGAAATGAGGCGTGCAGTAGCTCCCTGAGCTAGCTTCTGCAGGGCGAATGCATGGCTGTGATTGGCTAAAGCGGGGCTCAGTATAGTGAATGGGGGTTCCATTATGATGCGGTCTACTCACGTTAAGGATAGAGCGAGAGGAAGGCATAGGAAAGATCGGGGCTTATTTCGCCCGTATAGAGACAGGAAAAGGAGCCTTTTATTATCAAGGCAGGGGTATAGTGTGGTGCTTGTGCAACGGTGTGGGGGATGAGGGTTCTAGGCCGAGTTGGGCACTGTCGAGGTCATCGCCTCGGGCCCATTCGGGAAGCGATGGAGGGGAAGATGGTTGCCCCCCCCCTCTCCTTCCGTATCAGTTCTAAGAAAAAGCACTGCTTAGAAGGCTTAGGACAAAGACCCCATGATACAAATTGGCATTCAGATTGGAAATGCTACCTTACATGTATAGATATGGGTTTAGGCCAACTCTGGGTCTTGCTGTCAGGGTTTCCTCTTTGCTAGAGATGTCAACAGGATTTTCTGGACACAGTGCTTTGCAGTAGGCCGTCCACAAATGGAAGTGGTGGGTGGCTGAGATCTCATCACCATTGTGCTTTGGCTGCAAAGTAAGAAAAGAAGCAGGATCAGGGCCTCCCTCCAGCTAAACTCTTGCTTGCATGTTGCATCACCACTGCAGTGAGCTTTGGACCTTATTACACAACCATGTTATCTGCAGTGATAAATTCCTTGGGGCTGTCGGGGGGGGGGGGAGGAAGCCCAGAACTTGCAGTTAACTTTATTGGGAAATGAAAACACCAGAAATACTGATAGTTAAAACCTTAGGCATGATTTTATGGGCTTACATTCATTAGTTATTTAATGCAGAGGAAAAATGCACCTTTCAGTTCTTCCCCACACCTGAACTGTCAGCTCAAAGAAATCTAGAACTTCGGGAAGATGCAACTGAACATCTTCACTTACCGGTATGTGCCAGCTTTTTCACATAGAGAGTTTTGAGGTGGGGAAGAATTCAGCCATGAGACCTTCTCGCCTATACTACTAAGTGGTGCAGTCTGCCTTGCAGCATAGCTTCTCTTTCCCTGCACATTTGAGTCACTTCTTGTTCTAGTTCTTGATGAGGAAGTGAAACTCAAAAAAGTGATTCTGCCCCCCATAGTGACCTCAGTGAACTAGCCAGTGCTGATTGGGGGGGGGGTATTTGGAGATGCCTAACTTAAACTTCTGGTTCTCATCTTTCAGGATGTGAACAACTACAGAATGGCCATGGTGTGTTAGTGGAGTTCAGCTGTTCAGATCCACTGATTTGCTGGGATTCTTACCAAAACATGAGTGCTGATGAGGAAGGTGAGTTGCTACCAGGAAGTGAACAATACAAGCGATGAGGAAGCCAACAAGGTCCCTCTCAGCCTGTCCAGCTGTGCTTGCAGTCTTGCTGTCATTCATGGCTTTTGTTTTTGCAAAAAACCTAGTTTATTAGGTTTTTCACATTATTACAATAGGACAGTACAGTACCGTATTCACCTTGCCAGCTTCCCTGATGTCCTCTGACCTCATGCCCTCTTTTTTTAAAAAAGCCATCAGCTAACTCAGTTGTTTGGCATGTTTTGCAGTGTTCACATGTGCACACAGGGGCTTAGAATAAATGAATGACAATGCTCTACTGAAGTCCAGATTAGGATCCATTAAGTCATATTGACAAATTCCACATCAGCTGCAGTTTCATAGTAAGCAAGGCTGTTCTTTATAGTCAACAGGAGCAGACAGGGCCAAGTTCAATGGTTGTTTATCATCTGCAGAGACCTCCCTGGTTTTAATTAGAACTCCCACAGCTTTGCAGTTTCCCAATATTGTTTCCCAATATTGATTGCAAGCTACATGGCAGAAGCTATGGAGGCAACAGTGGGTGATATGTTTCTTGGAGGCCGGATCTGCTGCCCCTACGAATCCTGCCACCCGAGGCGGTTGCCTCACCTTGCTTCATAGATGAGTCGGCCCTGCCTATGGCACTGTATAACTACATTGTTTGTAATTACTTTGTCCCAGCTGTGGTTTGTTTTCTTGCACATATGTTCTTTAAAAGATTCTCCATGGGTGTAGAAGCCAACTTGTGTGCAGTAAAAAGAAGAAGGAAAAAGTGAAATTTGGGGTTGCTTGGAAGCTGAATCCCACATTCTGGTTATTTATTTATTTATTTATTTAATAATACAGAATTATGGCATTCGATGGTCCGGGTAGATAGATGCCAACAGTGCCTGCAGCAATTTAGCAGCAATCCATGAAAGTGCCAGGTGTCAGTAAAAAGAGATTTACACTTGGAAACAGAGGTCCACTACAGCGTTAGTGGAAAGCAGCCATTGGTAAAAGACTTTTGCTGACTTTTGGTGAAGCTTTCAAGGTTAGGGCAATAAGTACTGTGAAAACCAAAGCTTTAGAAACTGCCCTTGTCTCTCTGGAGTTATTAAGAACTGCATCCAGGTGAGCAGCAGCTGGCTTTCAGGAATTCACCTATGACAAGATGATTGTTTTTCCCCTGGGACAGTTGACTTTTCCGTTTATCTTTCTCCCGCCCTCACTCCCCTTTTAACTCAAGGTAAATAGTGGTTGAATGGGGAGGTGCCCTCTTGCATAGTTAAATACTTGGTTTCCCAGAGGGCTGCTCTGTATTACAAAACTCTAGATTTGAGGCAAGATTACTTTGGCTCTGGTGCTTTGGAAGGAATGCAAATGCCTACTAACAAAAACAGCCCAGTCAGTGCCGTTTCTGGTAAGTGAATAAATGTGTGGTTTGATTTCTGAGCTGTATATGCAGTTCTTTGAAAGAAGTGTGTGTGAGAGAGGGGAGGGGTGATAGAAATTTGGGAGACAAAATAGGTGAGTTTATTTTAAAATCAAAAATATTATGTACTGTTACATTTCCCTCTCCATTTCCATGTGGCAACCAAAGCTTTATCTGACAAAACTTTAAATTCGCCTTTTAACTGATAGCTCTGATAGTGATTTCTTATCTTTTATTGCAGAATCTGTTGTCAAATCAATAAAACACTCATGCTGCTGTGTTATTAGACAAGCTGGTTTTTCCTGACACAGAGAATGGGTTTACAACACAAACGTTTTCTTTAATTTTTTCATGGAGTTCTTCCAGAAAACAACAGTTGAAACCAGGACTATTTTTCTAGAAAAGGAGGTGCTGAAACTCAGCATGAATGCCTCCCTTGTTCTCTTATAATGGCAATGGTGCCCACCTGAGAGGTTCCCTATCAAGCAAACTTAGCAGATGAATGTGAAACTTATTTAAGATATCTCCTCATATGTCAGAATCTAGTTCTTCTCTAAATTCTTTTCCCACTTGTGAAGAGATCCATGCTTTGAGCATGGAAGGCAGTTGCAGAGAGAGGGTCAGGAGGGCTTGCATGAGAGGTTAAAAATAATAATAAAGGTTTCTTTGGCTATGTCTGAAGCAAGAGGAAGAACAAGTAAGCAGTAGGTCCCTTGCGTGCAGAAGACAGACAAATGCTATTGGCTGACAGAGAGAAGGCGGAACTACTCAACACCTACTTTGCCTCTGTCTCCACCTAAATGGAAAGCAATGCCCAACCAGGTGATAACAGAATAAATGGTGTAAGGAAGGAGCTGCAGCCCAAGATAGGAAAAGAGGTAGTAAGGGATCACCTAGCGACTTTGAATGAATTCAAATCTCCAGGGCCTGATGAGCTGCACCCGAGCCTACTAAAGAACCTTACAGATGTAATCTCAGAACCTCGGTCTGTAATCTTTGAGAATTCTTGGAGAACAAGTCATGCCAGATGAATCTCATTTCTTTTTTTGATAGAGTTGCAAGCTTAGTGGGAATGCTGTGGACATTGCGTATCTTGATTTCAGTCAGGTTCTCAACAAAGTCCCCCATGATAGGTGGATTTGTTGGTGGTTGACTGACCAAATCCAGAGTGCTCATTAATGGTTCCTCGTCATCCAGGAAAAAAGTGACCAGTGGGCTGCCTCCGGGTTTTGTCCTGAGTCTGTTGTTGTTCAATGTCTTTATAAACAACTTGGATGACAGAATTGAGAGGATGCTCATCCAATTTGCAGGTAACACCAAACTGGGAGGGGTAGCTAATGTCGCAGAAGGCTGAGTATATTTAGCCTGGAAAAGAGGAGACTGAGAGGAAATATGATAGCCATCTTCAAATATCTCAAGGGCTGTCACATGGAAGAGGGAGCAATGCAACAGATTCAAGTTGCAAGAATGGAGATTCCAACTAAACATCAGGAAGAATTTTCGGTCTGCTTAGCAGAAAAACACCCCCAAAGCATAATATGTCCCCCTCCATGTTTGACGGTGGGGATGGGGTTCTTGGGGTCGTAGGCAGCATTCCTCCTCCTTCAAACATGGCGAGATGAGTTGATGCCAAAGAGCTCGACTTTGGTCTCATCTGACCACAACACTTTCACCCAGTTCTCCTCTGGGTCATTCAGATGTGCATTGGCAAACTGCAGACGGGCCTGTACATGTGCTGTCTTGAGCAAGGGGACCTTGTGGGCTCTGCAAGATCTCTGTCCTTCACGGCATAGTGTGTTACCAACTGTTTTCATGGTGGCTCTGGTCCCAGCTGCCCTGAGATCATTGACAAGTTCCCCCCATGTAGTTCTGGGCTGCTTCATCACCATTATCCTGATCATTGCAACTCCACGAGATGAGATCTTGCATGGAGCCCCAGACCGAGGGAGGTTGACAGTTATTTTGTGTTTCTTCCATTTGCGAATTATTGCAACAACTGTTGTCACCTTCTCACCAAGCTGCTTGGCAATAGTCTTGTAGCCCAGTCCAGCCTCGTGCAGGTCTACAATATTGTCCCTGACATCCTTGGACAGCTCTTTGGTCTTGGTCATAGTGGCTACTTTGGAATCTCCTGGATTGATTGCTTCTGTCGACAGGTGTCTTTTGTACAGGTACTGTAATGAGCTGGGATTACAGGTAAAACCCCTCCCTTACAGCAGGTGCTTCTAATCTCAGCTCGTTACATACAGAGAAGATACCAGGTAGCCTGACATCTGGCTGGTTAATAGGGGATCAAATACTTATTTCACTCATTATAATGCACATCACTCTCTGACTTTTGTCTTCTGGGTTTCTGGGGGGTTTCCTGTTGTTATTCTGTCTCTCACAGCTACAATAAACCTACCATTAAAGTTATGGGCTGGTCATTTCTTTGTCAGAGGGCAAAGAGGCAAATTTAGCAGGGGATCAAATACTTTCCCCCCTCACTGTAACACCGGGAAGCCCAACTTAAGCTGATTTAGTTCAGTGGCCCAGTGCATCTTATGAAAACCCTTCTCCCCGAGAAGATAGCAGAAACAGCTGGCCCTAGGAACTGGTTCCATCAATATCAGCGTCTTTTGATTCCATATAAGTACACTTGGAACTTTTTAATATTAGAAGCCTTGAGTCTCACACACACTGTCCAGTGAAGGAAGTGGATGATCGCCATGCCTGCGCCCACCCAGAGAGAGAGCAGGGGCAGCTCGGGTGGAGCAGTTGCCATGCGCTCGCTGCTGCCTCCCTTCTCCAACGGGCAATTTGACAAAATGGGTTGTTTTCAAAGATGCCTTGCTTTTGAGATTCAAGTACTAGAACTTTGAGTTCTAGTCTTTTCATTTCAGGCATCAAAGTTTAGTTTGTTAGCTTGAATACTGTTTGATTGCCTTTGTAGTAATTATAGTCATCATTGTTATACAGCTTTTGAAATGCCTGTTGCCAGACAGGCAGCCCCTTTCCTGGCCACGGCTCATAATGCAGACTCTGAAACAAGAAGCCTGTGGCCTGGCTCGCTTGGTTGGGATGTGTTAACATTAGAGAATGTTTTCAGGAAGTTTTCATAGGGTTCAAAGAAAGTTTTGTGGGCTGTGGTGTGGTAATGATTTGCTGGAGTGAACTGTAGATTTTGGCAGACTTATTTATTTACGTATTAAATTTGTATTCCGCCCTTCATCTGAAGATCACTGAGCAGTTATGATGTAATGAAGCATGTAATGAAGTATGTAATGAAGGTGCCAGGGAGGACTCCTTGGGGGGAGCATTCCACAAATGGGGAGCCACCACCGAAAAGGCCCGTCCTCTTGATGCCACCCTCTGGACCTCTCGTGGGGGAGGCACCCAAAGAAGGCCCACAGATTATGATTGCAGGGTCTGAGTCTGTCTGGGAGAGGCTGTCTGGGAGCTCTTACAGTCCTGAGCCATTTAAGGCTTTATAGGTCAAAACCAGCCCTTTGAATTGGGCCTGGAAACTAATTGGCAGTCAGTCCAGTCCAGCCAGGATCAGTGTAATATGCTCACACTGTCTTGCCCT